CAGGTGATACGGCATGGCTACTGTATGACACGTATGGTTTCCCGGTGGATCTAACGGGTCTAATAGCAGAAGAGCGCGGCCTGAAGGTGGATATGGAGGCCTTTGAAGAGGAGAGGAAGGCTGCTCAGGTAGATCACGGTTTTGACGATAGATGGGGATATACAGCTTATTGATCTCGGGGTCTCTGGGGGGAGAATTAGTCATGCGGTAGAATGTTTGTGTGGCCCCTTGCGGGACATGTGCATGCCGGGTGATGTGCAGTCTGCAATGTTTCTTCATAAGGAATATGTTCCCCTCCCATCTCTGTAACATTGACCTGACCTCACTGCTCTATGTTCTCTCATGTCCCTTGTTCCACATTTGCTGCTGATATTCTGGGACTGACGCCTCCTCGTCCCGTTACAGCTGAAATCTCAGGGGAAGGGGGCTGGAGACGAGGACCTCCTGATGCTGGACATTTACGCCATTGAGGAGCTGCGCTCCCGGGGCCTGGCGCCCACCGACGATTCTCCCAAATACAATTACAAGTCTAACTCTGAGGGTGTCTACGGTAAGATTTGTGTCTTCTCGGTGGGAGGTTTCACGGTGGAGGGTCGGGGAGGTCTAACAGTCTCTGATCTTCTTCTGTCCCCTCAGAGTTTGAAGGTGTGGTGGGCACGGTGAAGGCAATCCGCAGAGAGAAGACCTTTGTGGATGAGGTCAGCACAGGGCAGGAGTGCGGCATCGTCCTGGACAAGACCTGCTACTATGCAGAACAAGGCGGGCAGACGTTCGACGAGGGGTACATGGTCCGGGAAGATGATGCCAGTGACGATGTGAGTGTATTGTGGTGCGTTTAGTCTCTGACACTTCATGTTCACACACAGGGCTGACCTGAATCCTGTCACTGCTCCAGCCTCTCCTATGTGGGGATCGCCCTGTGCCCCTTCAGTCTCGGCTCAGATTGAGATTTGTGCACAGTGGCGTAACAATCACCATAGTGACCCAGGCGGCCGCTATGGGGCCCAGGGGCACTGTGGGGCCCGGCCCAGATGCCGTGCGGGCCGCCAGGGTCGCTATGGGATCCTCTGCTGGTGGCTTTCACTGGCGGCTGAAGACGAACACGCCGCTGTTCAGATCACTGACGCCGCTGTTCAGATCACAGAGTCAATGAGAGCCAGCAGCGGCGGTGGAACATGCTGGACCCAGCAGTGGAGGAGGCGGGGCCCATGGTCGGCCGCAGGGGAGACGGCGGGCCAGGCGATGGAGGAGGAGACGGGGCCCATCAGCGACTGTGGATGAAGAGGAGGCGGACAGGTAAGGAGTGTGACCCTGCAGAGCCCACCATAGAGAGTCTATGGTGGGCTCTGCAGGGTCACCCTCAGCTGGGATCTCGAGTGATCTCTGCAAGGGGTATAATTAGAAATCACAGGGCCCCATACAAAATTTTGCTATGGGGCCCTGTGATTTCTAGTTACGCCCCTGTTTGTGCATCTTCTATATCAAACTGTTCCGTTTCCCCATCCCCCACCATTCTAGGAGCGGGGCAATGTACTGCGTCAGTGCAAAATATAAAGTGCTGGCATGAAATCCTATTGGAATAAATCGGAAAGGATAGAGTTCAACCTCCCCCATGAGATGCAGCATGCGCCGTGTACACCAGCCGCGGGCCTGCTAGTCACTCGCGGGTCCTCAGAGATGGGGACACGGGGATTGCCGCAGCTCTCGTCCTGATACTCGGGTTAGGAATCTCCCAGTTACACTCTCTGACCTGAATGGCGGAGTCTCGTGCTAATTGGAACCCAAGATGTGTTGTCACTGCCGACTTGTCAGAGAGAACAACAATTCACCTATACGAACTGGGAAAACCTGCCCTCGCTGGCTAACCGGGGAGACTTCCAGGACTGTCTGTATCTGGCATGAATCTACCAGTAACTGTTGATGGTAGAAAATGGTTCCAACTCAAGTGAAAAATAAAGCAGAACAGAAGGGGACATCCATTGTCCTTGGGACACTTGGTGTCCATTTCTCCTGTAGGAGGCAGTATAATACTTGGTGTCCATTTCTCCTGTAGGAGGCAGTATGGTACTTGGTGTCTATTTCTCCTGTAGGAGGCAGTATAGTACTTGGTGTCTATTTCTCCTGTAGGAGGCAGTATAGTACTTGGTGTCTTTCTCCTGTAGGAGGCAGTATAGTACTTGTTGTCCATTTCTCCTGTAGGAGGCAGTATAGTACTTGGTGTCTTTCTCCTGTAGGAGGCAGTATAGTACTTGTTGTCCATTTCTCCTGTAGGAGGCAGTATAGTACTTGGTGTCTTTCTCCTGTAGGAGGCAGTATAGTACTTGTTGTCCATTTCTCCTGTAGGAGGCAGTATAGTACTTGGTGTCTTTCTCCTGTAGGAGGCAGTATAGTACTTGTTGTCCATTTCTCCTGTAGGAGGCAGTATAGTACTTGGTGTCTTTCTCCTGTAGGAGGCAGTATAGTACTTGTTGTCCATTTCTCCTGTAGGAGGCAGTATAGTACTTGGTGTCTTTCTCCTGTAGGAGGCAGTATAGTACTTGTTGTCCATTTCTCCTGTAGGAGGCAGTATAGTACTTGGTGTCTTTCTCCTGTAGGAGGCAGTATAGTACTTGTTGTCCATTTCTCCTGTAGGAGGCAGTATAGTACTTGGTGTCTTTCTCCTGTAGGAGGCAGTATAGTACTTGTTGTCCATTTCTCCTGTAGGAGGCAGTATAGTACTTGGTGTCTTTCTCCTGTAGGAGGCAGTATAGTACTTGTTGTCCATTTCTCCTGTAGGAGGCAGTATAGTACTTGGTGTCTTTCTCCTGTAGGAGGCAGTATAGTACTTGTTGTCCATTTCTCCTGTAGGAGGCAGTATAGTACTTGGTGTCTTTCTCCTGTAGGAGGCAGTATAGTACTTGTTGTCCATTTCTCCTGTAGGAGGCAGTATAGTACTTGGTGTCTTTCTCCTGTAGGAGGCAGTATAGTACTTGTTGTCCATTTCTCCTGTAGGAGGCAGTATAGTACTTGGTGTCTTTCTCCTGTAGGAGGCAGTATAGTACTTGTTGTCCATTTCTCCTGTAGGAGGCAGTATAGTACTTGGTGTCTTTCTCCTGTAGGAGGCAGTATAGTACTTGTTGTCCATTTCTCCTGTAGGAGGCAGTATAGTACTTGGTGTCTTTCTCCTGTAGGAGGCAGTATAGTACTTGTTGTCCATTTCTCCTGTAGGAGGCAGTATAGTACTTGGTGTCTTTCTCCTGTAGGAGGCAGTATAGTACTTGTTGTCCATTTCTCCTGTAGGAGGCAGTATAGTACTTGGTGTCTTTCTCCTGTAGGAGGCAGTATAGTACTTGTTGTCCATTTCTCCTGTAGGAGGCAGTATAGTACTTGGTGTCTTTCTCCTGTAGGAGGCAGTATAGTACTTGTTGTCCATTTCTCCTGTAGGAGGCAGTATAGTACTTGGTGTCTTTCTCCTGTAGGAGGCAGTATAGTACTTGTTGTCCATTTCTCCTGTAGGAGGCAGTATAGTACTTGGTGTCTTTCTCCTGTAGGAGGCAGTATAGTACTTGTTGTCCATTTCTCCTGTAGGAGGCAGTATAGTACTTGGTGTCTTTCTCCTGTAGGAGGCAGTATAGTACTTGTTGTCCATTTCTCCTGTAGGAGGCAGTATAGTACTTGGTGTCTTTCTCCTGTAGGAGGCAGTATAGTACTTGTTGTCCATTTCTCCTGTAGGAGGCAGTATAGTACTTGGTGTCTTTCTCCTGTAGGAGGCAGTATAGTACTTGTTGTCCATTTCTCCTGTAGGAGGCAGTATAGTACTTGGTGTCTTTCTCCTGTAGGAGGCAGTATAGTACTTGTTGTCCATTTCTCCTGTAGGAGGCAGTATAGTACTTGGTGTCTTTCTCCTGTAGGAGGCAGTATAGTACTTGGTGTCCATTTCTCCTGTAGGAGGCAGTATGGTACTTGGTGTCTATTTCTCCTGTAGGAGGCAGTATGGTACTTGGTGTCTATTTCTCCTGTAGGAGGCAGTATGGTACTTGGTGTCTATTTCTTCTGTAGGAGGCAGTATGGTACTTGGTGTCCATTTCTCCTGTAGGAGGCAGTATGGTACTTGGTGTCTTTCTCCTGTAGGAGGCAGTATGGTACTTGGTGTCCATTTCTCCTGTAGGAGGCAGTATGGTACTTGGTGTCCATTTCTTCTGTAGGAGGCAGTATGGTACTTGGTGTCTATTTCTCCTGTAGGAGGCAGTATGGTACTTGGTGTCTTTCTCCTGTAGGAGGCAGTATGGTACTTGGTGTCTATTTCTCCTGTAGGAGGCAGTATGGTACTTGGTGTCCATTTCTCCTGTAGGAGGCAGTATAGTACTTGGTGTCCATTTCTCCTGTAGGAGGCAGTATAACCTTTGGTGGCCTTATACCAAGCTGGGTCCCTCAATGGACAATCGGGAAAAAGAAGTTTAAAGGAGAACTAAAGCCAAATCTCTTTCAATTGGATCATTGCATGGTGGGGAAGGGGGGTGTTCACTATGACTCAGAGCTAAGCTCCACCCCTTTCCCCCCCCCCAATTATAAAAATAATTAGGGTTCTGCTGTTTTTTGTTGTTGACATTTTTCTTCTCTCCTCCACAGAAAACAGAGTTCACGGTCAGGAATACGCAGGTGCGCGGTGGTTATGTCCTCCACATAGGGACTGTGTACGGCACCCTGAAAGTTGGGGATTGCGTGCACCTCTACGTTGATGAGGTGAGTGCTGGCTCCATGCTGAACCTTGGCGCTGTAGGGTGACCGTTGCAGTGTTCAGTCATGTCACCCGTCTCCTCTTTATCTCAGGCAAGAAGACGGCCGATCATGAGCAACCACACAGCCACCCACATCCTGAACTTCGCCCTGCGCTCTGTCCTCGGGGAGGCTGACCAGAGGGGATCGCTGGTTGCCCCCGACAGGCTGAGATTCGATTTTACAGCTAAAGGTGCCATGACCACTCAGGAGATCCGCCAAGCTGAAGAGGTCGCAGCAAAACTGATCCAGGAGAACAAAGTGAGTGGGGCCATTCCTCCCGTGATCAGGGCCCTCCTGCCCCAGTCTGATCCCTGCAGGACAAGGGCAGGCAAAACGGAGTCCCCCAGACGCAGGGCAGGCAAAACGGAGTCCCCCAGACGCAGGGCAGGCAAAACGGAGCCCCCCAGACGCAGGGCAGGCAAAACGGAGCCCCCCAGACGCAGGGCAGGCAAAACGGAGTCCCCCAGACGCAACAGTGATCAATGAAGCAAACCCAATAGCAGGTATGAATGAAGCCGCACACCGCTGTTCCAGAAAGCTAAAATCAACTTTATTATTCCAACTAGAGCTGCAGCTAACGATTATTTTCAAAATCGATTAGTTAGCTGATTATTAAGTTCGCTTAATCGGATAAACTATAAAATAAAAGTTTAAAAAATGGCTCCAGTGATGGGACTACTAGTTTGTATTGAGGTTGTAGTCCATCACAGGAGCAAGCTTGGAGCGGTGGAAGTAAAAAAAAAAAAAAAGATAGTGTGGTGTGCAATATAGTGAAATGGAAAGTGTAAAATTATACAGCAATGAATGCAGAATGGCACCGGCTATAGAGGACTACAAAACCCAGCAAAAGCACATTATACAGCACAATGCAGAATACCGCCAGCTATAGAGGAATACAACAAATCCCAGCAATAGTACATAATAGCTGGCGGCATTCTGCATTGCGCTGTATAATGTACTATTGCTGGGTTTTGTAGTCCTCTATAGCTGGTGGTATTTAGCATTGTACCACTTTATAATGTACTATTGCTGGGATTTGTTGTAGTCCTCTATAGCTGGTGGTATTCCGCATTGCGCTGTATAATGTATTATTGCTGGGACTTGTAGTCCTCTATACAGCGCAATGCAGAATATCACCAGCTATAGAGGAGTACAACAAATCCCAGCAATACATTATACATACAGTGTATAATGTATTGCTGGGATTTGTATTCCTATGTATAATATACAGTACAATGTACCATCAGCTCTAGAGAAATACAAATCCCAGCAATACATTATAGAGCACCATGTGTGGGAAAGTGCAGGCTTACCTGACCAGTCTTCCAGCAACTTGCTTCTGAGATTGGACCTGTCTATCAGCTGCTGTCATCCCCCCACCCCTGCTCCTCCTTACTACATCTCCCCGCGTGCCTTGCCGATCGTGGATGGGCAGGAAATGTGAGGCGGGGAGGAGGTGCGGCGTGTGGAGCGTGGATGCGAGCGGGTCTGGCAGCGGCGAGCGTGAGGTGGGGAGGAGGTGCGGCGCACAGCGTGTGGAGCTGTGAACAGGGCCAACTGAACGGAAGCCGATTAATCGATTATTGAAAAAGTTGACAACTTTTTCAATAATCGATTATGTCGATTAGTTGTTGCAGCCCTAATTCCAACACCATCAGAGAACACTATTTGGTTCTGGAGATAGCGAGCCCATACGGCTGTTATGTTTACAGCAGCATGACCTTAGAAAAGCACCGACGGGTGCGGCACAAACATAAAAGCGGTCCCATCCATTCCCCGGATCACAATATTGCAATGATAGTCTATAGTAATGATTGCTGTCGGCTTCCGCTTTGTTCTATGTTCCGATCTCGAGTCTTCGATCACCTTTCACCGTTAGATATTTCCACTTGTTTGCCGCTTTTACAGTAAAGAAGCCTTTCCCACACTCTAAGTTCTTAGGCCCCGAGCCGCCTTGTCTCCTCTACGGCTCCCATCGCTGAGCAGTAACCAGAATATTATTTCTACAGACCGTGTATGCTTTGGATTGCCCCCTGGCCGCTGCTAAATCTATTCAGGGTCTGCGCGCCGTGTTCGATGAGACTTACCCCGACCCCGTCCGCGTGGTGTCGGTGGGGATTCCCGTGGAGGACCTCCTGGCTGACCCCTCGGGCCCGGCCGGCTCTGTCACGTCCATAGAATTCTGTGGAGGAACGTAAGTAACATTTGTGTGTCCAGTTGCTCTAACACGGGGTGAGGACTCCAATCCCCCGCACCTCCCCGTGTGATCACTTGACCCAGGGACACAGATGGTTCTGATTGGTTACAAATGACAGGCACCCGGCATGTACAAAAGCAGCATGGTGAAGTGGTTTGAGGTTCATGGGCCGTATATGAAATTTTCTACATCCAATTGCAATTCCTTCCCACCGAACCCAGCCGTCGTTTTCTGGAACTACAACCCCCAGCGTGCAAATTCAGTGGCTGGAAGTCCTGATTCTTGTAGTTCCACGGCATTGCTTCCCTAACCACCGATACCACTGTTGTCCTTCCAGACACCTTCAGAACTCCGGCCATGCCGGATCCTTCGTCATCGTCACCGAAGAAGCCATCGCTAAAGGAATCCGCAGGATAGTGGCCGTCACCGGGGCCGAGGCGCAGAAGGTGAGATGGTACAGAGCGCCATCGGTAGGACGCGGCAACAATGGCGCAAGATCATACTGACCGCTGCTGTTCATTTACAGGCTGTCCGCAGACAGGAGGCCCTGAAGTCTTCACTCAGCCAGCTGGAGGCCAAAGTGAAGCAGCAGACGTCCCCCAACAAGGATATACAGAAGGAAATAGCGGATCTCGGCGAGGTAAGATGGTCACATGACCTGCCCACTGTATATGGTGCCACACTGTACC